AATAATTAAACGAAAATTCTCTCAGAATAATAATAGAAACATCCCTATAAACTTTAAAAGAAATATAAGAACAAACCCATCTATAAATAATAATCAATCTAATCACAAGAAAAGAATAGTTTGTTATAAATGTGGAAGATACGGACACATGAAAAAAGATTGTAGAGTAAGAGAACGAATACAAAACTTAGATATGAGTGAAGAAACCAAAAATCAAATAGCAAAAATATTGTTATATGAGTCAGAAGAAGACATTAATAATCTAATAGAACCTAGTAGCAGTGAAGATGAATATACTACAAGTGAAAATGAAAATGAAGAAAATTGTGACTGTATATTTAACATAAATGTCCTAACTACAGAAACTAAAATAGCTCTAGAAATGGTAGATAAACTTCCAAATGAAGAAGATAAGCTAGAATATTTAACTAGATTAAAAACATTAATATTAAGTGAGAAAGAAGCAGAAACAATACCAAACGAAGTAAGTGGTTATGATTTTTCCAAAATATTACGTGAAGCAATAAATAAAGAAAAATCTGTAAATTTACAAGATTTACAAAAAGAAATAAGCCTTCTAAAAGAAGAAATTAAAGAAATCAAAATTCAATTAGTAGAATTAAAAATAAAAAATGAAATACAAGAAGAAAAAATGAATATTATAAATAATAAAAATATCTTAAATAATGAATCAACCTATGAGAAGGTTAACCAACTAAAAATTCTACAACAAAAATGACATATAAAAGCTACATTAAAAATTGGAAATAGTTTTCATAAATAATTTATAGCTTTAATAGATTCTGGAGTTGATATAAACTGTATAAGAGAAGGATTGATACCTACAAAATTTTATGAAAAAACTTTACAAACCCTAAGAACAACCAACTCTGAAAAACTAAAAGTAAAATATAAATTGTCAAATGTCAGCATATGTAATAAGGGAACTTGTTTTAAAAATACTTTTATATTAATCTCTGATATTAGTGAAGAAATGATATTAGGAACCCCATTTCTAGCATTAATTTACCCTTTTGAAGTATCCGAACAAGGAATAAAACATAAAAACCTTTTATTCGAATTCATTAAACCAATAAAAAATAAAGAAATACAATTAGTGACTGATGTAAATGAAGGAAACTTTCTATTAAAATTAGAAGCTAAAAATACTCATATAAAATATTTAAAACAAGAAATAGCATACAAAAGAATAGAAGAACAGTTAAAAAATCCCGAAGTAATTACAACCTTTAAAAATATAGAACAAGAAATTATAAAAGAAGTATGTGCAGAGGTTCCTACCGCCTTTTGGAATAGACATACTTTTGAAATAGAATTACCCTATGAAAAATGATTTTTAGAAAAGAATATTCCTACTAAAGTCAAACCAAGTACAACTAAATAAATAAACGCTAGAATACTGTAGAAAAGAAATAAAATCTTTTTTAGATAAAAAACTTATTAGACCAAGCAAATCTCCTTGGAGTTGTGCTGCATTCTATGTGCAAAATGCCTCGGAAATAGAAAGAGGAGAACCAAGGATGGTAATAAATTATAAACCTCTAAATAAAGTCTTAAAATGGATTAGGTATCCTCTACCTAATAAAACTGAATTAATAAGCAGAATTTATAAAGCCACTATATTTTCTAAATTTGATATGAAGAGTGGATATTATCAAATTAAATTAAAAGAACAAGATAAATATAAAACTGTTTTTATTGTACCTTTTGGGCAATACGAATGGAATGTAATGTCTATGGGTTTAAAAAATGCGCCTTCAGAATTTCAAAAAATAATGAATGATATACTAAACCCTTACTCAAAATTTGTCATTGTCTACATTGACGATGTATTAATATTCTCCGAATCAATAGAACAACATAAAAAACATTTAAGAATATTTAAAAATATTATAAAAACCAATGGAATGGTAATATCACAAAAGAAAATAAAATTAGCCCAAACCCAGATTACATTTTTAGGTCATGAAATAAATAAAGGAACTATAACCCCTATTAAAAGAAGTATTGAATTTGCAGAAAAATTTCCTGATGAAATAAAAGATAAATTGCAATTACAAAGATTTTTAGGATGTTTAAACTATGTTTCAGAATTTATACCTAATATTCGAATATTATGTAAACCTCTTTTCAATAGATTAAGAAAAAATCCTAAACCTTGGACCCCGGAAATGACTAAGATAGTAATAGAAGTCAAAAAATTAGTTAAGACTCTACCCTGTCTAGGAATACCTAATCCAGAATCAAAAATAATTATAGAAACTGATGCCTCTGATATGGGATACGGAGGAATATTAAAACAACATTTACCTAATACTCCCGAACAAATAGTAAGATACCACTCAGGAATATAGAATGAAGCCCAAAGAAATTATAGCACTATTAAAAAGGAAATTTTAAGCATAGTTTTAAATATACAAAAAATTCAACATGATTTAATAAATAATTTTTTTTATTAAGAATTGATTGTAAATCTGCAAAAGAAGTTTTAGAAAAAGATGTAAAAAATATAGTTTCAAAACAAATATTTGCAAGATGGCAAAGTTTATTATCTTGCTTTGAATTTGACATAGAATTTATAAAAGGAAAAGAAAATTCAATACCAGATTTTCTAACAAGAGAATTTTTGCAAGGCCACTCCCATGGCAACCCCCTCTAAAAAACCAAATACCCCTGAAAAGAATAAAACAGAAAATCCTAAGTCATCTACATTGTCTCTAGATGACTTTGCTCCCTCATATTCAAAAACAATAACCACCCGAAAACTTCCTACTTCCATAACCACTCTCCCCAAAAGATTTACTCCATTAACCCCACAAAAAACTCATAATACTTCCCCTGAAACAACCCCGAAGAAAGAATTTTATATAAAAGAAGGATGCCAGAAGATAATCACTCTAGAAGAAGATTGGAATACAGAAGATGTATATGGAATACTTAAAAGGCTAGCTCCTCCAGGATGGAGTTGGATCCCTAGATCAGAAAATCTAAAGAAAACCAAAAAATTCTACCAATTCATTTTAAACCGGCTCGGCTGAAATAACTTCAATCCCTAATGATAGAGATCCCTCTATTATTAGTTACTCAAAATTAAGAATTATTAAAATAATTTCCTACCCAGAATAGAATCAACATTCATTCACTGATAAGAGCTTTTCAAGGCCCTTTGACCCCCATCTTATAATTACTTTGATTACCAAGAAGCCTGGAACAAAATACTCTTCGACACAAACCCTAGGCATTCCTAGTATATCTGTTTCAAAAAGGAAATACTCAATTCATTACCCAACTGGTTTATTGACTGGTTTAATCAAATAGGTCCTGTTCAGGCAATAATCCCCGAGAAAATCATGAAAATATATCAGAAATACAAAAACCTTACTCCTCAATACCCTCCATATCTTCAAATTATAAAATTTTGTTCAACTATGGGAATAAGCTGGCTTTTGGCCCACATTCCTGAAGTCCATCAACATAAAGAAGAAACCTACCCAAAAACCATCTGCTTAAAAACCAAATTTTTTTGGTGGAAGAAATTTGAAGTCCATTATGTAGAAGAAAAATTCGAAAATTGGAAGAAAATGGGTCTTATTAGTCAAAAAGGTCCAATACCAAAAGAAATGCCCTCAATAAAAGAAAAAGGAAAATCCATTATAGACTTATCACAACTCCCCTCATCAAAAATTGAAAAAACCCAATTAAAACAAAAAAATGCTCGAAGCATTATCCTCTTTAGGCTCCGATGAAGAAGAAGAAGAAAACGAAGCCATCATTAATATTCAAGATGCACAAGATCCTTATGAAGACGAAGAAGAATATGTTGATTTTGATCAGTTCTAGCAACTAATTCATCCAACCAAAAAAGAACTGCAAAGAAGAATTCATAATATTATGAAGAAATTAGAAGAAGATCCTCATGAAATATCTCTCTAAGAAAAAACATCTTAGTAAGAAGTTGGGCTTATCTGGCCCATCGCCCAACAGATGTTATAGTTCCCCTTTCAGAAGAAGACTCAGTGGATTCCCTACGCAAAGAAAATGGGGGCCCACAAAGTTGAAAGAAAAGTCATTGTATTTATGTAATTTTGTTTTTAGCGTCGGCCGTCGAAAGTAAAAGCGTGTCAGTTGTGATTATCTTTTGTTTTTAGCACATGTGTCTCTTGTAATTATGTCTTTGGTCGGCCACTTGTTACTAGTGTGTCAGTTGTATAATTGAATAGGAAAATCTTAAGGTCTATAAAAGAGTCAGTTGCTGAAGTAGAATTTACAGCTCTCTTAGAGCCTTAAATTCTATCTTCCTCAACCAACTCCTTCATAGCCTAAGTTCCCAGTTTTCCCTTGTTTTCTCGAATAGTCTTAAAAATTGTAAGATTTCAGAAATTTCAGAATAATATATTCTCTTCTTCTTCTCTTATATTTTCTCTTCTGCTTTACATGCGCTGGTAACAGAAATTGTATCAGAACAAAAAAAAAACAATTTTGTACTGATAATATCTGTTTGTTTGAAATAAGTATGCACTGTGTATGTAAACACTCAAATACGTGGAATTGTTTTCTTACCATTTTTCCATCTTGTGTTCCTTCGTCATACCCTATCCAAGCATATTATTATGGTGTGTTTGAAAGTTCTGGAATAAATAGGATAAGATAAGGTAGTGAGCGAAGGAGTGGAATGAAAGAGTGACATATATGTTTATAGGTTCTCCAAGGGAGAGAACCAAAGAAAATCATAGAAAAAATATTTAGCACATAGTATAAATTTCATATTGTAAAAATGAATAACGTATTTTGTCCTCTAATTTGGAAAAGATCATTCTATTAAAACGCAATGCATAATGATTGAACTCTTATGTATGATCCTGGTGTGGTACTTATGTCTTTTTGCATAGAAAACAATTTGGCTCTGAATTTGGTCCTGAAAACAATAACATAGTAAAAGATTTATAAAGCTTATGAGAAATATCTTAAACATTAATAAGACAATGTCAAACCGAAGAGTTATTAAACCAATGCAGCTTCGGATATGGCGGCTTCACATGTGGCAGGTGGTGGATGTTACAGTCATTGTGCACATGGTGGGTCACACCATGCTTTGTCACCATCTACTGTTTCTTAGTCATACACTTAATATCATCAACTTAACAAGTAGGGTCATACATCAAACCTTTGGAGCCATATGGTCTGGTCCATGCCACACATTCACACACTTGTATGTGACTGACCAATGAATTCAGTTCTCAAAAACATGAATCAGAAAAATGTGGACAGGGTTCCCCGGGAATGGGACTAGTGTTCATGCTTGCTTGGTTCGTATACCCTTCTTGCTTCAAGGATTGATATAGATAATCATTATTGCTCATCATCCGAAAATGAAAAGCAAGATATTGTTTATTTACCATGCATGCTGCTCTGCTAAATAAGGAAATTCTGTGTGAGATTGACTCACTGGGGTGCCTTAATCTATTGCTTCAACCTTCAAAATCAGTGATTCACTACACTACTTATTTTTAATTTTCTCACTAAAATCGACATGTTATGTTCCTGTCACATCAAAAGGATCATGGTACAATTCATAGTCGAATAAATTTAATTGATTTCTCTGCAGAATCAGTATCCTTTGATGCGAAATGCCAGCTGAAGAAACCTTAGAAACCATATAAATCCCAACTGGGCTTGCCAAGTTGCGATATGGCAGTTTCTGCATACGAATGCAACGGTCCAAATCATGCTACGCCATCAAATCAGAAGAAATAATAGTACTACCAACACAAGAATATCTTATTTGATACATCAATTGTTTTATCTTTCTACCATGTGTTAAGAAAATAAACAAATGCATTAGAACTTGCTTGCATTTTATATACTTCTTCACATCTTTTTCTCAACCATATAATAAAACTACTCAAGCAATTTGTTCAGACAGTTTTATTTATTTTTCTTTTTGCTGTTGATTACAGTTTTTTCTCTCTTTCTATTTCTTGCTTCACTCAAAAGATTTTGGATAGAAAGTGATTTGGTATTGCCAATTGAGATTCTTGCATATACTGCTTGTTTAGGACAGAATGGCTAACAACACCCAAAAGCTACCTGTTTTGAGACCAAATCATTAATGGTGATATAATTACAAAAGCCCTCGTAGGTATCAAGTGGATGCGCCATTGGCAATTAAGAAAGGAAAATGTTGTGACCACGGTTCCATCATCAATACAAGATCCTGGTTATTGTTTATTGTGATTTATTTATTGGGTATACATGAGAGGCCCCACGTAATAAAGTATAGTTTAGATACACACTTACAGAACCCAATAATGTCTAAAAGATCTTTGGATTATGTTCTGAATTCGACGAAACTATTGGCTCAATAAATGTATTTGTCAATGAAAAGATTACGACAGCCAATTTTTTAAGCTTTTGGTTAATGTCAGGGATCATGTTTGTGTCATACAATAATTCTCTGAAAACATTATCATTGGCGTTTGGAAGTAATTTATATGTCAATTATACATTTATGATTAATTTGATCAATATCAGGTTAAAAGAAAAGAAGAGAAATTAAAGATTTGATCTTTACATTTAACATTTTAGTCAACATTTATGAATTGGTACGTACTTTTTGGTATGACAGTATTAAATTTGATCTCTATACCTCAAATAGTTTATCGCTTTTTTTTTTATCTTTTCCAAAAAAAAAAAACATTTTATTATTACATAGAAAAAGAATTCTACATTTTAGTTTACGCAATGGCATTTTTTTCTATAATAAAACTTTATCACCTTTATAACTGTCGAAGGTATAAAACCAATTTAGAAAATATCTTTTGTATACAAAATAAGATGTAATGTTCTATGAATTTGAGGTTAACATAGCTTATAAATATTATTTTTCTTCTTTTTTACATGCATGCACCACTGTAGTTTAATAATTGGTGGTGGTTGATGGGTTTGTATTTTCCCAAAGACAATAGACTGCTAATGATGATAGAACAGATTAAATTAAAAGATTAAATTAAAGCATGGTGATGATTGATTCGGACCTTGGTGGTTATGACCTATCTGTATGAAAGCTCTATCCATTTTCATGGTCTTTCTAATAGTGATGTCTGAAGATAACTTTCAGTTGTGAAGACTAAAAAAGTGGGTTAGCAAGTGGTAAATGATTGATAGCGAAGATACAATTGAGGAGTGGTTGGATGGAAAAGGGAAGAAAGAATCCACATTTGGAAGGTAAGTGCCATGTGGGTTGTCATGTGAACACCATTAAATTTTTCAAACAGTCCCACCTAAAACTTAAACATAACTCCAACCAAGTTCTGCATCTGAGAAATAATTGACTCTTTCTTAATTTGGATCCAACTATGGCAACGTTTTGAGGTAAAAAAGTTACATTTTCAACGTTAGTAACATATTTCTATACATAATATATTATATTAAAAGATATAATCATGTTATGATTATTTTTTTTCAAAATTGAATTTTTAATTAATTATTTTCTACAAATTTTTTTTATTTCCTACTTTCCTTCTCTTTATCAAAATAATTTCTTTTTTATTATCTTTCTCTCGTTTTTCATTTTTTCAAATCCACTCTCAATTCCAAATAAGAGTTTCAAGTCTATATATATATATATATATATATATATATATATATAACAACCTTGATCAAATTTGCACCTGTTGACAAAAGAAAGATAGACATAATTTTGTCATTAGAGATGAATTGTGACTTAAAAGGAATTTTGCATGTAATGCTAAGGGTTGAAATTGTGAAGTTGCCATGAAACAAAGCTTTACCTAACCATGCGAGCTAGTGGACATACGTGTTACAAGGAAAAGGATATATGTTTTGTACATATTAAAGTATAAGTACAAGCCAAACAAAATGTCTCTTAAGATAGTTGACGGGTTAGATTCCTTTTGTTTTCACTTTTTGCATTTTGCATGAAGGATTAGATTCACATTATTGTTTAATATTATTATATGGGACAACAAACTTGACACCAACGCATACAAACAAAAAGTATGATAAAAAAAATCTTCCTGGATTTTCAAAAGCGAATAATGCTATTTGGTGGATGAATGCGGCACAAACATAGCCGCAGAAAGTTAAAATGAAACGACAAATGAAAGAGTTGAATAGATAATATAACAGGTGTTTAAATATTATGGCAATGAATCTGATTCTGTTTGTAATTTTTTCACACTATTGGTAAAAGAAACTTGTCCTGCCATGTTTCTAAGGTTACTATACCAGACACCAATTTCATTCATCACTCATAATCAGTTTTTGTGTATATATATATAATATGATGAACTTGCATTACTGTGCCATGCAAAAAATGGAGACGTACCCCTCATATCTATTGCATAAAAGAAGAAATGTTATATATCTTCATGCATGTTCATATCATAAATTTTCTGATATGATCAGTGATAGCCTAGCTCGTGACTGGAACATTATTCCGACATACCATTTTTGTGGTCATTGTAACAGTATACCTAACAGACAAGCTACCCCATGTTTTGGATAAATGAAAATGGTACATTAGGTTTACAGCCTTTAGGCTTGTATATATGTGGACCTATATGAGTAATAAGGAACTTTACTGTTTCAATCCCTTAGAAGGACAATGCTAACTTCTTCACCTGATGATGGTCCTCAAAAGAAAACCAAACTTTCCTATATCACAAGGCTGGTATAAGCAAGCAAACAGACTTTATTTTATGCTTACATGCATGGTCCTTCTATCATTTGTCTGTTTTCTGCTTCAAACACACCAAATCTGGATACAGATTTTATTGTACAAGATGTCAAACATTTGTCTTTTCTCATTCACCAGCTAAACCTAACTCTCAAACTGTTGAGTGAAGGCTTACCAATGGTTTTTATATGTAACACGACTCGAGGTGATTGTGTAAATTCCTCTTAATTAAAATGACATCTATCTAACATTGCGGGTAAAATTAGTCAATGCTCATAGTACAGTTTCACTGTGATTAACCATATACTCTGATTCTTTATCAAAGACTTTGATATCATTTTCATGACTAACAACTGCCACACTGACTATAATAAAGGCTTTAAGCTAGACTTAAGATTTTCTTTGTTTTGGTAGAAGATTTTATATTAAATTGGTTGCAAATTTCCGATAAATGAGAGTTATATTATATCTAAAAAACGAACAAAGTCCACACAATTGTGAATATAACTGAATTTCTTCAGTATCTTGCTAGGGTTTTATTCCTAATTAAGCATATTAATAAGGGTTAAATTTCTAAATATACGTATAAAACTTCATTAAAAAATAAAATTCATTTCCGTGATCTCTAAAAAACAGAAATTGCTTATATTATAATTTTTACCCGCAGCTATTAATAGTGGTACCAAGTAATCACTATTTTGATGACAAAAATGGATGTGGTTCCATTTTAGGGTTTGGTCACTAAGAACACACTGGTCCTAAAATTATTACCAAATTTTTGCAATTATTGTTGGCAAGTAATCAACCTAACTAACTTTTTTTCGGCGGATTAATAATGATAGCCGCCCTTGAAAATCAGATCACTATTAAGAGAAGAACAACACCTACTGAGCCCCTTCCATTCACCATCACTTTCCTTTTAACTGATCCAGTTAAGCAATATATGGTAGTACAAGAGTCCTTCTCAAGATACAGAAATTAAGAGCAAGTAACATGTGCAAATATAATTAATATATTCTCGGAAATTCTATGTACATAAATTATAAATTATTAGATTAAATTAAAGTATACAAATGAAAAATAATGCTTATTTCATAAGTTGAATTCAAAATTTTTAATTAGGCTTAAATTCAAATTTAAATATAATATTAAAGTTAACCTTAATAAATTTTGTTGAACTTATAAATTACCATACTATATTTGCAGATATTTTCTTCTGTAAATTTTATATTGGAGGCATTTATCCTGTAAGAGTTAGAAATTCTTCATCAGCTATTAATATTACAGCAGTTAATTCCAAATTCTGAGAAACGAGTAGTTGGGGAAGGGTTTAAAATTTTCAACAGAACATACACGTTCCATGTTTCTTTATGCACATCCTCCTCCTCCATATATATATATATATATATATATATATATATATATATATATATATATATATATATATATATATATATATATACCTACTCTGACTCTGACTTTTTTTTTCAGAAAAAAATAATTAATTCAGGGTTCTGAGCTCATGAGCAATTACAGACCAATTGTGATCTTCCGTGTGTGTGATTACGGGAAGAAGTCCAAGTCTATTTTCTTGTGAAATTGCATCGAATTATTAGCCGAAGAAGATGTAGTTGAAAGCAACGTTGATCACAAACAAAGATTAAAGTAGTGGTAAAATTAATAATAATTGATACTTCCTTTTCATTGATGCTAGAATATGGTCACTCTGGCGTCACATTAATGGAGAGCAATAAAAGTGAGTTGAAAATAATATAATTTTTTCTGTAGATGAGTTCAAACCAAATTGAACAGGTGCAAAATTGTTGAGTGGGGTGAAGTTGTGTCCCTTTGTAAATAATTGAAGAGGTGCAAAGTTTTGCAGTGCAGTTTGTTTATTTTATTTTCATGCAAACTTCGAGAACTATTGTCCAAGAGAAATAGTGTGTAGTAATTACCATGCGCACTTTGTTGGAGGAAAAGGAGCTTGCATATATATATTTTTGACCAGAATCATCCTCTGAAGATGCTTTGTCTCTGTGAAAGAGAAAAAGGAAAAGGAAAGAAATGGTTTTTTAGGGGAGAGAGTGAGTATTACTGCAACTTTCAACACCTTGGAAAAATTTGCCAATGTGTAGTCAAGTCGTCAATTTGTTGTTTGTCACATTCTTCTGTCAAGAAATTTTAAAGTGAATTATGATTTTAATGAAAGTATAGTTTTGTAACTTACTTTTCATTCTTATATTATATTCCAACACTTTTTGGTGAGAGATTTTTTTCTAAAAACAACAACTACAATAAGGTGAGGTGCTCAATACTCCACAACTTTTAACAAAATAAATATATTGAGAATTCACATTAATGTTAATTCTCTCTTTGTGTCATGCATCTCTGTTTTACCTTCTTCTTCTTTTTCTTCATAAATTCGTATTTGTTCGAACGGGACTGAACTCAATTCTGTCAAATACGATATTAAATTCGAATAACATGGTTGAAATGAAAAACTTCATTTATGTATAAAAACATTGATTCTCCTCACCATATATACATGTTATAAAAATAAATCAACCCAACAAACTTATGTATTACTAATTTATAATTTGATATATTTATTTTGAAGATGGATCAAACAATCATATCTGTCATCACTTATTTATGTACTGTAATTTATCATAAAGTCAAATAAATATATTAAATAATATACAAGTATGAGATGAATTGGACAATAAAGTACTTGTGTTCACTGAACGAATGAATACATGAATCAATTTACCCTGAAATTATTTTAACTTAATTCATGATCTCGAGTTTATATATTAAGGATGAACTACTATAATTGCTTCAACACAAAGTTTGTGGTCTCTAAATAGAAGTACTTGCACTCTTTCTAACAAAAATTGTACATGCAATAAATATATTTAATAAGTAATTAATCACAATTCCATAAAAAGGAGCCCTTAATCTCGAATAAATTGTGTAAGTACTTATTAGATTTAGATTCTTTTGCAATATAATATACATATTATAATAAAGAGAAGGATAGTTAGGTTTCTGTCACTAGTGTTTCCAAAATTAATCATATTGAAATAATGCCGTCTAACTCATTGTTAAAATCTAAGACATTTCTTGTAAAATAATTAATGAGAAGAAATTATGTATGCATTAGTATAAACTACTGAGACAACGGGGCAAACAATAAAAAATTAGAGAGAAGGAGCACGAAGTTAGTAAAAATGCAATAAAAAATTAAAATATTGAGATACTATTAACTGCTAAGGGTACCCACCACTGAGTCCCACTTATTTTACATTTTGAGTAGTTTGATTTAGGGGTGGTAGAATTAAAATATTAAATGCTAGAAAGGGCCAGAGTAAAGGTCCCTCCGACCAGCCTTGTCACATTTTCCACTGCCCATGTCCCTTAGAACATGGAGGAAATTATGGCATTTCTCCATCTTAAACTCTCTCTCTCATCTCAAACACCATAAAACCTCTCATTCAACAACAACAACCACGTTCTTCTTCCTAGTGCTTCAAGCAACAAAAAAACCATGCTACACACAAGTAGATAAACAAGACCACCTCAATTATTGTGCTCCAATCCAACCAAAGCAAAACCGTATTGGTACCTCACCACCCTTTTGCATGTCTTAAGGAGAAAGAAAGATTTTCATCCTCACAAAAAAAAAAGAAAAAAAAAGTTTGAAAGGAGTTATTATAAAGAGATGGAGATTGAGTCAGTGAAGTGCGATTGTTGTGGGTTGAAGGAGGATTGCACGCAAGACTACATCAGCGAAGTGAAGTCCAAGTTTGATGGAAAATGGTTATGTGGGTTGTGTTCAGAAGCAGTGAGAGATGAAGTGAGCCATGGAGGGAAAATGGCATCATCAGCTATGGATGAAGCTGTGAAGGCTCACATGTCATTCTGCCGCAAGTTCAAATCAAACCCTGCAGTTAGAGTGGCAGAGGGGATGAGACAGATGCTGAGGAGAAGGTCTGGAGACTTATCACAATCTCCATCTTCATCAAAGAAGTACACAAGGTCAACCAGCACTTCTCAAGTCGGAGATTCTTCAAGTTTCGGTTTGTACTGATGCAGGTGGGAACAGGGCAGAGGCAGAGGAGACTCTGCTTTTGTTGGAATAAAAGTTTATAGGTTTAGCCTTTTGGTTAAGTTTTTTCTTCTTGTCATGTACAGGAAGTGTTGTTTCAGATTAAGAGTCTTTTCTTCTTCTTTTTCTTTTCCTATTTTCTTCTCCAACTGATCTCTAGTTTGTAGTTTGGTATCCCTAATCCTCTTTGTCGTCTCTTTGTTTACTGTCATGGCAAAATAGTGACCTAGTTTCAAGATCAAACTTTTATCTCCTCCAAACCTTCGACTCATTTCTGCGTAAAAATGTAAAAACCAAAAACCTGTTTGGATGCTTCTGGGTAGAATAAGAAGTGCAATGGGTTTTTGGGTTCTATCAAACTTCTTTGATTAATTATTGGCACGAGTATTTTTAGGACTCAATTGGTATGAAAAAAGTGGAAGGTTGGATTTTTCTTAAGCCTCGTATCTTCCACTCACAATAGTTTTTGCATTTCTAATGAGTATCTTTTGTGTGAACTTTGGTATTCAAGACTTATTTTAAATTTTGACTAAATTAAAGTTGAGAAGGATGGAACATTTAAGGATTAAATTCCATGAGTTTCTCAAGATAACAAGAATTCAAGACATTTCGTGAAACGAATATGAGAGTGAATTAAATCTTTATAGTGTTAAGAAAAAAGTAGAAGGAAGAATATTTCTTTAAACTTCACGTGTCCATATTTTTTGCACAAATTTTTCTTAGGAAGAATATTTCAACTCACATAAAGATACACGATTCACGAACAATCAGAAAAATATATTCATTTAATTGGCACTTCATTTATTAATTTATTTCTATGTGACTCAAACATGAGAACGCAGGATATAACACAGTAGCAGAAGATTTATTTAATCGTGGATAATGACTTCACTACACATTGGTTGATGATATGATGCAGTTCTAAACTTTTCCTTTTTGATTTTTTTCAACTTGGTTACGTCGTTATGATAGTTTTCTTGAGATTGAGGTAATCAAGCTATAAAAGTTTCATTAGATGAAGGACCATCAGGTAGCTAAGACACTCACTTGGTTGTGGTTAAATATGGTGTGCATGAGTAATGTTCATTAAGGCACTTTATTGCAATTAACTGAGGTTAGTTGAATTGTTAAATCATCATTAACGTCTTGTTATTAATTTTGTTGGATAATTTTCAAAAAAATCTTTTTGAAAGTATTTACAACTTAATTTTTTTAAATTAGTTGTGTTATGATATACTTGTACTAATCAAGACTAGTAATAGTTTATATATATATATATATATATATTATTTTCTTTTAATTCATAAAAACATCTTTTAAAAATAAATTCAGTGATGAATTAGAGTTTTAAAGTAGACAATATATTAAATATAAGAATTGATCACAATAATGTTAACATGATACTCTTTGTCTTAGACGAAACATTAGGTGGGGTTAAAGATAGAGTCACATTCTACTCATATATACCATTTAGTCCACAATTTGGGATTATGATATGATACACTTATGAGTCTCACCCTTCCTCTCTCAATCTACCGAAATATTTTTTTAAGGGTGAATTAAAGTTTCAAAGCAAATAATATATCAAATATAATAATAAATCGATGTTATCACAACAGACATGAAGTTGGACATTCTCCGTTCTAGGCAAAACAACTTTTATTCAATATATTTTTAAAATTAAAAAAAATCAATAATTATTTTGTTAAAATAACTTTAAAAATATTTTTTAGTTTTTAGTTTTTGAATTTTTAAAAATGATCAAATATATATATTTTTTTCATTAATATTAACACTTTTGTCAATAATGACATCACATATTTATTATTATAAAAATTTTATATTTTTTTATTTTTTGTCAAGATTTGTTTAATCTTTATTATTATTTTCATTTGTTAAACTTTTTAATATAAAAATATTAAATATTTTTCAGCTTATTTCAAAAACATATTAAAATTAATAAATTAAAATTAAGAAATTATAAAATATAACTAAATCAAATAAATTTTTAATATATTATTTATGTTTTTTTATGATTTATTGATTAACTATAAATAAAATTGTTTTAATATGAATTTTTAATTACCCTCCATTGATTATAAGCGAACTGATCTTATATGTAACTCTTCCCTCATTATTTTAAAAATTGGATTAGATGAGACCATCCAATTCAATCTAATTTAAAATTGATATATCATTTTTAAATAATTAAATTTTAATAAATTCGGTATAAAATTTATGTAAAATCGATATATTATTTTTAAATAATTAAATTTTAATAAAATCGTTATAAAACCGATAAAGCTAGAGAAATGGAATGAATCGATTTTAATAAAAAATATTAAAGATTAAATTTTTTAATATAATTTTTATAAAAAATATAATATATTTTTTATATTAGTTGCGTTAATTTTAAATAATGATTATTTTATTATTTGTTTATTTTGTTTTAATTTTATCCATTTTATATTTTTTAATATATTTTATATTTAAAATATTTATTAATATTTTTTATATTTAAAATCTTTGTTATAATTTATTATAATAGTTTTTGTTAATTTTTTATAAAAATACAATTATTAATTAATTTATTATATTATAAAAATATTAGTTTATATTATTAGATTTTTCGTAGCAAGTGAATCGAGTTAATTATAATATAGCTAAAAAAACGTTGTCATACATTCAGGGATATACAGATATTAGATGATTCCAGTTTTCATTATAATGAATTTTTGAATAACAGTTATATGATTGAAGTGACTGAGATAAAACTTATTAACACAAAATAATGCAATGAGATGATTTCTCTACTAATAAATATGCAACCTATCATCTATATATACATGAATTTCATTCTGAATTGAAAGTTTAACCTATTCATATTCAATCCAAATCAATTCCTTAATAATGAGATTCTAAAAATCTTAAGCAATTAATTAATACTTAATAAGATTTTTGTTCCCAACAATAAAGTTTACATATTGATTTGGATTAGATCTAAATCAGCAATCACATTTTAATGTAAATTTATTTCTATAATCATGCACTTAAATTCCTCTAAATTCAAGCATTAAAACATAACCAACATAAAAAAGTGGAGAAAGAAATTTATATATATATATATATATATATATATATATATATATATATATATATATATATAACAATAGAATTACAAAAGAGTTAAATTGTTACTTCCAATTCAATAAAAAAGAAATTAGCAACACATAGTAAGAAAAATTTTAAATGTATAAGATGGAGAACTCAAATCCAAATAATCTTTGTTCCTAGAATGTGGTTCCTTAAATCGTGCTCTTTTTTCTTGCAATGTATCTCTCATCACTTCAGTTCTTCTATTTATATCTAAGAAATCTCGCAGTATTTTAATATATCTCGTCCAATGTTTTTCAATTAGTTCAATGGAGTGAGGTTTCTTCACCTTGAAGGTTTTAATTCATTTAATTGATTCTTGTCCGTTGAGTGTTTTTACCTTTCAAAAGGGTTTTCCAGATACAAATCTGCTCAACGGATTCAAAATTGTTAAACGCTTCTTATCATCTTGGATATGATCTTCTCTATCTCAATCTCGTTCATTGAATGAAAATTCGTTTCAGCGCTTTAAATCTAGTAGTGCTATCTACTTATTATCACCTCTATTTTAACAAAAAATTGCATTAATTTGTCTATATACTCTTTAACACTCAAACGACAAATTTTAAAAACATTGTTTAATATGACTTTCTACCTTAATTAAAAAATAAATAATAATAATAATTTTGAAATAAATTATTATAATCTTATAAATATGTATATAACCTGAACATTCTTATTCTTATACTCTAAGTAATATTAATATTATTAAAGTTAGACATCTTTGAGAATTGAATAAGTGTTTGTTTAAAACTTCAGTAAATGAAAAAAAAAAACAAGAGCATTTTTTTTAACTTAATTGTTTTTAATCAATGTGATTACAATCGTCATAGCTCACTTCAAAAGTATTATCAATCGTTACATATTAACACAATTCATCAAATACATGGTGTGTAATAAGATTGTAAATGGAGTTTGAAACTTCTCAAATAGGATTTTATATTTTTACTTCTTATAAGGGTGGGGTTTCACACATTCTTACCATTAGATTTTGTGATATGGTGATCACTTTTTTCAGAGTACCACAAATATTTTTTCTACATTATTTTCTTTTGAAAAAACATTACTATTATCTTTTGATAATATAATATGTTTATTGGAGAAAATAATTTATTTTTAAAAATGGCATTCAGTAAATGCACATAAACTAGTATAATAGAATATTTGTATTGAAAAATGTATTATCAAAATTATTTCATTCAATCATTTGAAGGGCTTAAAAAAATATCTTTGAATTTATTAACATGAATTTATAGTTTTTATTTTAAAATTGAATTTCAATATCAATAATTATACGCAATATTACATTAACATGAATATTTTTTTTTTTTTGGTAAATCGCTTGATACTTGCTTGGTGTAATAAATTTTGAAATGTAGATTTTGTTTTATAATCAATCTGCAATGTGAATTTTTGTTTTCATGCTATAGTCTATTTTCACCTTTGAGTCTCAATAGTATTTATGTTACTATATTTCATTTTTTTTGTTATAGCACTCCCTTAAGAGGGAGCAATCCTTGTCTAGGGGATTGGATGGGTTGAACTTGTTAGGATGAGATTAACCCTTGAATGTTAGGTTTTGAATTTTTATGTTTGTAAATCGAATGCATCACTATGAAAGGGCTATGCATATTTGCGACCTGATATAGGGTTTTGGTGCCAAGGTTCCCTTATTTTCTTCGCATACTTGGTTTGATGGTTGAAATATAATTTTTCTTTTTTTATTTTCTTTTTGGGCAATGCATATTTACATGTAGATTGATTGTATTGCATGAGTTATGAAAGAAACCTAATTCTATCATATGGTAGTTAGTGATAAGGGAACTAGT